TTTAGTGTCAAAGTATAGTATTCTTGAATTCAATACATTGTTATTGTATGGAGGGGGGGTGCGATGAAAATTATGATTGAATATTGGGTCGCAAGTATTGAAAGTTTGAGAAGAACTGCTTAAAATGCTTTGCCCTTAGTCTAGTTATTGTTGACTTTAAAGCTTTTGATACTGTTAAATTAAATGAATTATTCACTTCTTATTGGTTATCATTTTAAAATTTAAAAAAAAAATTCGTAGATATTGGGTATTAATAAAGGGTCGTTATGCATTATTTTTTTAATTCCTACTAGTAGTTCACTCTCTCCCTCTCTCTCTCTCTCTCTCTGTATATATATATATATATATATATATATATATATATACAGCCAAACCTCTATATAACGAACTCTAAATCCCGAAAAAAGTTCGTTTCATGGAAAATTCGTTATATAGAGGCTCATCTTTCTTTTGAACGTAAAACAAATTTTGATCACATAAACACTATGTATTAAAAAAAATAATTGTTCACACCTTTTTGTAAATTAATATATATTTATTTTATACATCTTATTTATTAAAAAAGAAAAGAAAAGGAAAGAAAGAATGTAAGGAATGTATATTGACGTCTTTATCCAATTCCTGAAGAATTGAATTTTTTTCTTTCATGCTCAAGCACTTATGTTTTAACGTTTTCGAGCCACAAGAAGCGAAGTTACAGGTGCGACTGATCAACACTACAAATGAACACTTTTCAAGGAAACGGGACATGAGACAACTTCCGCTGAGGGTAAAAGGGCATATCAAAGATGTTTCTTGTGCATTGGGGGTTAAAGATTACACTTTTTGGATGAAATGCCCGGAATTCTACTTCTTTCAGATAGTTAGGCACCTAATAAAACCAGTTCACTATTTATGACCACCACAACTGTGTTAAAAGAGAGAATAACTTGAAATGTCCAGAAAAACTTCAAAAATAGAGAGAGAAAAAATGTATCAAAAGAGAGAAAGTTCGTTATATAGAAAATGCACTTCGCTATAGGGACGTTATTGTATGAAGAAAGTCGCGAAATGTTCTGGAATCCAGGAAAAAGTTCGCTATAGAGAGGTTCGTAATATGGATCCATATACATATATATATAAAGAACTTTCTATTCATCAATTCAAGTTAAAATACATTTTGAAAATTTGTAGTGGATGACACTTGATGTTAAAGCAGTTTTCTTCAAATTTTAATTCAATTAAAAATTTAATTTTTTTTTTCTTTTAAATTTATTTTGCGTTATTTCTGTCGAATTTAAAACTAGTTACAACAGATGGCGCCCCTACGAGTTTTCTAACGAATTAGGAATTGACTTTAACAAAGTAATATATAAAAAAAATTGAGTCAGTTATGTCTTCGGTCAACAAAGAAAAACTTTATTTTATAGTTACTTTTTATTAAACAGTTACAATTAATATATCAATTTGTACAAATATATGTACAAATATTCATGCAAAATAGAAAGCGAGTTTCTTTGCAATTTTTCATTTTCTTTTCTATAAAGGGTATTAGACTATTTTTTTAATTCGTTATTATATTTTATTCATTATTAAACTATTCATTAATTAAATTTAATTATTCTTATAAAAAAGTAGAGTAAAAAAGAAATTAAATTCTCAGAAATTAGACCATCCCCGGTAGAATTCGAACCCACGACCTTTGGATTAGAAGTCCAACGCGTTCTCTAGTGCGCTGCAGGGACACAATGAGCGATTTCCCTTTCTATATATGCTGTTGGACTATTATTTTTGATTGAAACTATATATTCATTATTTCATTTAATTAATGAATTAATATTTTAAGCAAATGAATTAACATCAAGTGTCATCCACTGCAAGTTTAAAAAATGTATTTGAACTTGTTTGGATGAATAGAAAGTACTTAATTAACTATTGAAAACTTGAATACGATGTAAAGGGAGAGAGGGAACTCTCTATAATAGTTGTAATTGAAAAAAAATTTATATTACTTGTTTTGAATTTTTTTTTTTTTTTTTTTGAGAATTTGGAATGCGGCTTGCATTTGAATAATTACGGTATTCTAATACTTTTTATGTTGAATGATACTTGAAGAAATTTTTAATTTTGTAAATCAATTTATCATTTGCTTATAGAAATAAATATATTATTTAGTAATGCAATTTGAATAATTTCTTCTATTCTTGGACGTTTTAAAATTTTTTTACCATATTTTTGTTGTTTATTATTTGTAGTAACTCTACTTTTTGTGTGTCTGGAATACATTAATTATATTAACTACAAGATTTAAAGTAACAATATTTGAAAATTGGGAAAAAAATATTTTCGTTTTTCTTTTCTTTTAAACATTTAATTTTAGAATTTAATCTTGAAATTTATTCTTTTCTCACAATAATAAAAATAAATATCTAGCCCAAACAGTTCCTTCTATGGGACCTGATACTTTTTGTATGTGTAATTATTTATGAAGCCAAAAATTATTTAAAAGAAATATATTTGTATTTTTAAATTAAAATATTTTCTCCGGTAGAATTTCAACGAATAAGATATCGTTTGGCCTATAATTTTGTATTTATTTTTCTGTTCTGAAATTGAATTGTAGAAACGGGTAAAACAATGTAGAATTACTTTGAAATTGATAAAATAAACCTTACATTTAAAAAAAAAAATTAGCGTATTTGTAATTTTTATGTAAATAAACATTACTTCATTTGGATTTGAAGTTCTGAAAGTCATTTAATGGGGTTCCTTTTTTGGTTTTCTCTGTTGGAAATCAAGACATTCGGTGATTTTCTTTGAAAGCTTAACTCTAAGGTCACACTTGGTTTTTACCTCATGTGGCTTAATTACCGTATTTTAAGCATAATTTGGGTTGTATTGAGAAATAGCAGCACTTTGAAATTAACAATGTTCTGGATTTTAAAAATGTTTTACTATTACCTAAGCGACATAATTTTTTTCAAAAAAATATTATCCAGTCTTATTTATAATATGTATAAATCAAAAGTAAAGTTAATCTAAATTTTCCCCTAGCTGAAATTATTTACATATTTATACAAATATTTAAAACAGAGTAAAAAAAAATTGAATGCTTTCTTTTAAATTTATTTATATAAATACAGAGAAAATCGTTTAACACGAAATTGAGGGGGACGAAAATATTTTTTCGTGTTAAAGATATTGCGAATAAGGAACATGTATTCAGCAAAAATAGGTTTATTGATGTACAATTTATTTATTTGTATATGTATATATAGATTGATTTATTAAAAATTAATGGAGCAAAACAAATTTACAAGTAAATGAAATTCAATACAAAACTTAGCAATACCAAAATCTTTACAGTATTCCGTTTTCGTCTTCTGTTTTTGGTCAACAACTTTAAGGAGCTCCATCTTCATTTTAATTGAAATAACAATTTGCTTTCCCCCTATATAAGTTCTTTGTCATTATACTCATAAAAAAATTATTCTAAAATAATTAAAAATAAAAGACCAGAATCAAACTTACTTATTTTTACTCCCACTGCAATGTACTCGTCAATGAATTTCAAAGTGAAGTGATGAGATGTTTTTGTGTGGCATTTGAAGGGATGGAGGGTGAATATAGCTTAAATAAACAAAATTGGCTTGTGTCACAGACTATTTCGAAGGTATATTTCAAATTCAAATTAGCCTCCTTTCTGTGAAACATGAGAAATCACCTCTCTTTCATTTCACTCCCCCTTTTAAATCTAGCCTGCGCGGCTGGTGTTTCCCGTATTTTGTTCATTTCCAGAAGGCAAATCTTTTTGTGTTAAGCGATTTTCATTTCGAGTTAAGAGAAAAAAGCATGAAAATGCATAGTAGTTTGGCCAGAACGTTGTATTCTTTCATTTTAAACGTTTTCGCGTCAGAAGTATCTCACTGTATTTACATATATATACAAATACTTAAAACGAAGTAAAATTTTATGAATTCGCTTAAATTTATTTTTATAAATACTTTTCATATATTATATTATATTACATGTATTATTATATTTATATTGGTTAATAATTTTGGAACTCTTGCTTTCTATTTTTTAAGTTTGGATGATATTATTATTTTGTGTGTGTATTTACAATTTTTATAAATTTTATTATTATACTTAAAAAGGAATAATGATGTCAATAGCAATGATAATGAAGGAAAATCCTTTCTATGAAATTGTAAAATATTAGTTGGTACTCTAACTTCTCTGATGGTGGAAATTCTGTTGATTCTGTTCTGTTTAATTGAAACCTTGATGAAAAGTAGTTCATGATAATTTGATAGAAATAAATAATAAAAGAATGATTTGTGTTATTTTAAAAAAGGAAATATAATTGTTAAAGAGGAATAATAAATAATTTCGATTGAATGATTTTTCAAACTATTTGCTTACAGACTGAAAAAATCATGGCCACTGCAGACCACACATAATGTAACACCCTGAAGGAAGCACACAAACCATGTGAAATTTACATCATGCGTTGGCGGCGATGAAAAGTGCAATTCACTAGCAATATAGCACAGACGCACATCAAGTGTAACCGTAGCGCCACCTGCAAGCGCTATATAAGGGGAAAGCAGATATGCGATGCGCAATGACGACATACGTAACACCTTAAAAATTACTAGTTTTAAATCTCATATTCAGAAAATAGCAATTAACTTTTTCAACGCTCCACCTGAAACCAATAATTCTAATATACATATAATTTAATTCCTTACATTCCTAAAGATAATACTAAAAGACCAAAAAGAATTCTTCTTGATTCTTATAATCCCCCGTGACTTTAATTTTCATGCAATAAATTTTTTATTGCACCATATTTTGCTAAAATTTTAATTTCTTTTTTAAATTTTTTCAATATTAATTCCTATCTACCCCACTAGACAAGCGCCTCCCCATTTTCTAATACTCAGCCCCCAGGGCAGCCAATTGGAGTCACTGTTCACTTTACCCAGCAACCAATCAAAGAGCAGCCTCTAAGCTCTCACTCAAGCCAAAAAACTCTTAACTTTTTTTGCCCAGATGAAGCACCATAGCCACACCTCCCGGATCCCATCGTTCTACCAATCGCCGTCATGCCACTCAGCAGAATAAAAGCCACC